CATCACCTAAACTTTTAACAGATCATATATTTTCATATATTAAATTTTTATTTATTCTACGCATCAAGTTTTCTAATAAATCTATGCATAAAAACCTGAAATGTATTCATCACAAATAATTTGAATACAATCTTCTTCGTACTGTATAGTGTTATTTATGAAAAAGAAAATGTAGTATGTGCAATAAGAAATAAAATATAATTTTTTATCTTAGACAGTCTAAGTAAGCTTCTTTTTAAAAAAGAGTTTCAAAGGAAATGAGAGGATATACTACTTTTCGTGAACGCGCGTCAACATAGTGAATCAAAAATAATGAGAGACGCGGTTGTTAAGAATCCTGTTCTGGAAACGGAGCAGAGTTTCCGAGTTGTTTGTGATCCGTTTGAAACGGTTATTAATTGACGTACTCGCGGGTCGAGATCGTCGTCCACTTGGTGCCACAGCCAGTCGTGCTTCGTCATCCCTACCCAGAAAACTATGAGGCGTTTAATTAACTCCAGCGTGTTGTCGTGGAAAGAGACGGAGGCGAATTCAGATGCAAATGCCGTGACACGCCCCCACAGAGGATCCGACCCTTCCTTCTTCCAGGTTAAAACACAAACGTCGCCGAAAACCGTCGTTGCCGGTTCGTACGATACCCTAGCCACGATTCAATTTAAACGCCACCAACGAGGATATAATTTCCCACCCTGGGGATCGTAACGAATCGCAGAATCGATTGAAAAATGATCCAATCGTCTCTCGCAGTTCTTCTCTATTAAACGAAGAAAAAGTGAAAACGAACTACGCTCTTTAAATTAATTTTGAATAGGATTGATTTGTTCGAGTGGAATAATTTCAAATTTACACATAATTTTTAGTATCGCAATCAATTTTTACTGCACGAGAGATGATTGTTTGCTACACGTACAGCTGTGCATAATTTCGACAGAGATTATGTGATGGTAGATTAAATTCATGTAAGCACGATCCTCGATCGCTCAGTTGTAAACGAATACGAGATTCAGGAATAAAATGTAATTCTTTTTTTACTGTACATATAAATATATACAGCATAGAATAGTCACGTATGTTGGTTAGTAGTTTGAATCTCTCATGTAGCATAAAGAGACAACCAGAAAAAAAGTGTCTGTACATTATTTTCACCTTGCATAGTATTCCTAAAGTGGACATAGATAATTTAAATTTTTAGCTTGTATAGTATCCTTGAAATGGATATTAATGGAATTGACCTAAGTGGAGGAAAAATATATATGTTCATATAAAATAATTTTCACTGTAATTGAACTTTCAGCGATTAGGTGACCAATGATACGTTTAAAGTAAAATGAAATAAAGCGAATATAACTTGTTTGTAGATAATTGCTTATTTAGAATATAAGAAACGTAAATCCAATGTTTTGCAATCTTCTAAATATCAAAAAAATTGATTTCCCAGCTACACCCGGAAAGTTCTAAAGTTTTTAAAGAAGCCACATGTTTACCTTTACTTTGGACAGTGATCAAAGATAAAGTCACTAAAGGGACGAATATAGAGAAAAGAAAGGAACGGAACGGGATGAAAGACCGATCAACGGTTTGAACGTTTTGGATTCACGTTGGAAGCCCCACGCGTAAGAATCCCAATCGTCAAAGCGGTCTCGGCCGATTTGGACGTTGACCAGCTGAGGGGACTGAGCGATGGAAAGGAAAAAAATTACTAAATCCTATCTGAATCAGTGGCCCATTGAACGGTGGTTTGATATCGAAGCTGAAATATCTCTTTCGTGGTTCTTTTGAAAAGGAACCCGAGCGTCGCCGGTATCCACGGGTGGATCGAGTTGGTAGTAGGGTACAGAAGGGAACAAGAAGAAGAAGGCTTATTTCAACAATACGCGAGAGTGTGTGCTGACTGACAGACAGCTTCTGTCTCTTTCTCCGCCCGGATAATACCCACAAAACCAGCGTCTACAACCCCTGTGTATATCGTCCTCCCCCTCCCTCAATAGATCGGTGCACCCTGGTATTTTCCGATTCACAGATACAGTACCATGCAAAAATCTTAAGCCATCTGAGAGCATATTGTTCGTTCATCTACATATTACGGCGCATTGCGATATTTAACTTACGCTCGGTTTATCATTTTTAAAGAAATTTATGTCCAAAATAAAAGTAATGCCACGGGCGGCAAGACTTATGCGCGGAATCATGAATAGAGAAGTATCGATGCGAAACGAGGAAAACGTTCTTTTAAAGGATCGGCGAGATTTACGGTCGATTCGAATCGAGACGAACTATTTCATTCACGACTACATGGAGAACAATCTCGTTCAGTATTTATCCACGACAGCGAGGCTACTATTTTCTACGGTAAATCGAATAAAAAAAAGAAGTTCCATTAATCGTTACTACCATCATGATTCTCAAAAGCAATACTTTAATCTTTCGTACAGGACGTAGTAGCGTATACCTCGAAATTGCAAACGAGAGCCCTTTTCTCGTATTCCTATCGCGAAATCGCGATCGTACATTCATCGACCCTCCCCCATTTTCGGTCTGACTTCCACTCATATCCATGATCGGTGCACTCAACGCGGAAAAGAGAGAGCGGAGATCGATTTATACGAAATGCTCGACGATCACTTACCGGTGGCGTTTCGTAACGGGACACCCCGTATAGGCACATACAAACACACATACGAAGTGTAAGGGAGACAGAGATAGAGACAGAGAGAGAGAGAGAGAGAGTGGACAGCGCGTTTTGCGGTGACAGAGCGTGTCTGATGGAGGGTTGTCACGGTACAGGAGCACCCCTCAGACTTCGATATTAAAGCCCTCCTAATATAAGAGCAAAAGCTCCACCGCTCGGCTCGCTCTCAGCCGTCGATATGCCCGTTTCAAACCTTTTCTACCCTAGTCCCCGTTCACTCCCCGTTCGGAAAATTTCCAGGCAAGCGATACTGACTTTTGTGCGACCGACCGGACCGCTCTAGGATTTGTGACGAAGCTAGTGGGCGTACGAGAGGGTGGACCGTGAAAGGGGTGGACAGATTTATTAAGCTCCGCGATATTATCCCCTTTATTCGTGTTCACGGGTAAATCTCGTGTAGGAAATTCACGCGAATTTTAACTCAACTCCCGTCTTTCATTCTCTTAGTTATTTATTGTCTTTAAACATTGTAATGAAATTAAGAAACGAAAAGATAGATTATTTCGATTATGCAGTCCATGGTAAAAGAGATGATACATTTCTCTATAATCTGCTTCAACGAAAAATCTATGGATCAGTGTGGTATATTATATTAAATCGTATAACATCGTGATTAAGTTTGTATATGATCTACAGTCCACAATACCGAAAAACTGCTCAGCGAGCGGTGTTAAACCGTCCGGAAAAAATAGAGATCGGAAGAGGAGCAGGAGAAACGTCTTGAGCACACGCTTAGATGCGTAAGCACAATGAAGAGGCATCCGCGTCACGATTGTACGTGTGCGCGTGTGAAAACGCGTGCACGCCCCTGATCTCAGCTTCCGTATCCATCTGACACGCACCATTGATCACGAATGCACGTCCGATAGGGCGTCGGACCTCCTCAAAAATCAAGTTATCTCCATTCCCGGTGCATCAGCGGGGTTGCGAATAAAACGTCGCGTCGCGTCTCCCGGCAGTCGAGTACGTCGCACATATTTATTGAAAATGCCGTGCACGCGCGATTACAACAGATTTTGACGTCTTACCCTCGGAGCGACCAAGACAAGAGGAGCGAGTATGAAGACAGGGAATAACGTTTAAGATCTGATCACGTTCTCGACACGATAACGTGTCAACGTAAAATTGTTGAAAACCGAAAGTGTGGAACATTTCCAATATTCTGTGTTCTAACACTAACTTTATGCTCTTACAATACTTTTTAATCCAATTTTCAGTGCGATTTTGATTACTTTAGATTAAATGAATAAACTCTACGTTCCCAGGAACGAACGTTCACTTTCGATTCTCATTGTATAGCTATACGTAGACAAACAAAGAGAAAAAGAGTAAATACAGGAAGGATAGGAACGTTCGAGAGTTCACTCACGGTAAATCGACTGCACCAAACGCTTAGATATTTGATGTCTCGTATCCGTTTCCCGTCAGGCAGCTTCAGAAAGATGTCCGTATAGTTGTACGCTCTGAGCGCCTCCGGCTGTCTGCACAGGCAGAAAACATATACTAACAACAAAGAAAAAAGGCCTTCGTTCGTGGAGTATTCCATTGTTCGTCATTAAGTACTCTTATATGTTCCAATTATATATCGCATAGCGACAAAATTATTGTCATTCAATTGACCGATCAACCCAACAAAAAGTGAACACATAGATTTTTGAATATGCCAAAATTGACAACGCGTGCGACAGCTTTATATTTGCTGGCTGTACTGTCGTACATATTTTACATTTTGTCTCATACACGTGTTGATAGGATTTATTCTTATATGAGATTTTAATTAAGACGAGTACTCATACCCATTGACCGATTTTTATCCCAAGAGTGGAATTCGATAAACAATCATGTATCGATCATGTTCGAGAAATCATACAAGATCTCTGATATCTTGCAATATTCTCTGCTCGACTGAATCTGATGGGGAACAGGACCAGATTGCTATGGTACATATTTTCCGTTCCCGACTTATGTTCAGTTGGCCTCTCGAGAACGTACAGATATTTTATAAAAGTTGACGTACAAATAGATTAATTTTCGAAACGATATCATCAGTACGATCTCGTGGGACAAACCGTAAACCATGGAGGGTGTAGACGGAAGAGAAATTCAGTCTCGGACGGTTCTTACTTCGTTTTCCCGAAAATTCTTAAGTCTTGGCGTACGAGAAAGACAAGCGACACCGATTCGAAACGTAATAAAGTGCTCGCGCGGACGAAATCCGAACGAGATTCGTCGGTATAATTCCCGTTTTATTAACTGTACACCCCCACGACCCGTCTCTTCTCATCCCCTCTGAACTACTTTTACTACCTGGCAACAACTTGGACGCGCACAACAGCCTCTTTAAGCTTCATTTCTTCCCTTGGTTACGATATGCCGCCTATGTCGGCTAGTCAGCCTTTTATTTATTTTCTGTCGCTTGTCAAGCCCGGCTCCAAGCCACACTCTATGCTATTTTTTAGCATAAGTTAATTCAGACGGGAGATTTAAAATTTTAAAGCATCGGTTTACGATGAAAACGAACGATGTAATACGGAATAGTTTCTTACCTTCTTCCTCCAGTCTCCTTCATTTCCGGATACGGGACGGCGTAACCATTAGGATTAGGCGAAGAACTGTTTCCCACCCAGAAATATGCGGCTGGACCGGATCCATCGTAACAAAATCCCTTTATGAATATCGTCGTATCGTCCACGGCGTACACGTCTCCCTTGATACCATGTGCGTAGTTGCTTAAAGTTCCGATCACTTTGCCGTAGTAATTTGGTTGTTTGTGTGCGTGACCTGTAAATTAAAATGCATTCATTCAGTATGTGCAACAAGAATAATTACAATTCAGCTGTTTTATAATTAGACAGTACGTAGATCGCAGGCTTTTTTCACATTATTATAGTTTGAAATTTGGTTCGTTCATTTTCGATTGGTCAACTCTGCACTTTAATCGAAGAACTCTTACGCTTACGAAATATTTTATGGTATAGAAGCGAAATCGAGCCTAAACGAGCGAGACCACGAGAAGACACGGGACTTCATTTGAAGCGTGCTATGTATGCTCGCTGTAAAAGGGGGAAGTACGGTTTCACCCTTCGTGATATATATAGGTTGGACGCATCGCCGCCCCAATACAAAAGCGTTGCGTCGGGGCGGACCGCTCGGCCGCGGCGCGATTTGCATGAATTTCATTTCATTTGCTCGACAGGCCCCATAAACTCGGACGAGCGAACAGATCGGAAGTGGCAGTAAAGATCGACCGTTCGGGAACCGGTCGCCTCCGAGCATCTTCCCGGTTCTAAAGATTAGCGGTTTTCCGTTTAACACCTCGTCTGAATCACAGGAAACAGATTCGCGTCAGATAGATAGGATTATTCTAAGTTTCACGTTTGTCCAGAATCGTAGAATTCGATTTGTTTCGATGTTGTATCGTTGTACGAAAGGAGATTTAGAAGCCATTAGTTTATTGTGAATAACGAAATTGTGTAGGAATGGCAGTGACTTCTCGCAGAGATTTTGGCTGTGAATATTTTTTTCGAGCAGGGAAGTCGATACCCTGGCAAATCTTCTTATTCCATGCGCACCGAATGCATGAATTTTCCATTCAAATCTCATCGCAATCGGCTTAATGGTTCGATCGGAATTTTGTATTTGGGTCGTGCATACATCCACTCTTGTAGTATATATTTTTAACAACCAGATAAATTGTCCCCAGTCCATTTCGAAAAGTAATAAACAATTTGTGTATATTTTAAATACATAAGTAAAACCGAATCGCAACCTCAGTAACGACTACGATTATTTACAAGCTATTGAATTACGTTAAAACACGATGAATCTCTTTAATGAACGGGACCTTTGGATAAATTCTAAATCAAACAGATTTAACAATCGATAAGCACTAGCTCGTTATCCTTGAATAGGATGATGCACCTCTCGTATCTGGTTTCCATTCTATACAGTGAGTTTGCAAACATGAGGCATGCGAAAAATGAAACAGTATTGGCTTACGGTTTTTCCCTGTTCCATTCACATAACTTTATACAATAGAGCATGTCAGTTATGTGAAATGACAGGTAATGATGGCTAATTAATTCTCCAATTAACGTTTGCGAATACGTGTTTTATTCTTACCATCATCGGACAACAGATTATATCTGTTTCAAGGGTTCATTACTAAACTGCTACAAACGAAAGGAATACAAGTATGGTGTAGTAGTACGTGTAACTTATAAATATAAATTTAAATAAATATGCTGCGAATGGAATACAATTTCTATCTGTAGCAGAATTTCTCAAGAGAGTTTCGGTAATAAGAGATAACAAGGGAATTTCTCAAGACGTCTCTCGTTAAACGTCTGTCGGGGGCACGCAAAGCCGACTATAGCTATAAAAACCATCAAAAGTTCATAGCATGGTAGTAGAACGTTTGTTACTAATTAATTAGGATAGAATTTAAATGGTAACCGAGATTGTCATTTATTTTATTCATATGAAATATCTGCGTAAATGTTGATGAATAAAACATAAATAAATGATAACGAACAATAATTAATTCCCAATGCGTATATTATAGAAACACCGATTGTTCAAGTTGTATCATTCTTGCCATTCCTACATGTGAAAACTCGTAGTTTCAGGGTCAGAATAGTAAATAGAGAAGCTCTGTACACATACGTCTAGTGAGAAATAACGAATGAATATTGTTACGGCTCTATCCCTCATTAAACGAGTGCCCGGGGGCGGACGATCCGTTGAATCCGATCGAAAGAGCAAAGACCATCGCGGCAGAAGGTAACGATCCCTGATGCTTCCCAGCCCGGCTACGATTGTGTATTTGGAGCACATGCAATATGCTTTGTGCCGCGTTTTCGCTTCAGGGCTAAGGTATTCCCCGCAGCGTGGCGTCGTGAAAGCAGGACTAAGAACGACGGGAGCATTCGAGGAAGAGGGGACGATTCAAGGAACCTATACGCGAGATTTGGATTCTCTCATCGGCGGACATGGTCACGAGGTTCAGAGCACCGAGAAGAAGAGGACGAAGGGAAGAACTTCCTATGTGTTTACCCGGCTCAAATGTTGACCGAACCCCCTCCGCCACTCCAGGATCATATCCTGCTTTCAGACCAACCTCTTGGGATACGTAGACGGGCGCCTGTTAAAATGTCCGTCACGATTGCGAATCGAGCATCCATAGATACAAACGATACACGATTTTCCGTCTATCAGTGGACTGTTCAAAAGCTTTATAACATTGATTTCATTATGCACCTAACTTAAAATACAAGGATAAATTCATTTGATGACTTCTGTGTGCTGTAACTGTAGGTACACGTACTAATTTTTAACTTCCATTCTGTTACAGTTTTACTGAACATTTATCAAAGAACCGAATCACCGATCAGTATTTTAAAGCATCGCGTCGTGTTGCGTTAATTAGTTCTGGTAATTATGAATCCATTAGCGTGGCAGCCAACAAATAGCACGGTACAATCCAATAACCATCGTAGCCCATAATAAAAGGGGAAGCAGTTTAAGCACCAGTCGGGGGTAGTTTAGGTGGCAGCGAGTAGGCACGCACCCATACAAATTCTCTTTCCCTATGCGTGTACAGTGTTGTGCGGATGTGTTTAGCAGCAGATATTCCATTCTCTCGGCTCCAAGTTCTACACCGCATGCCGTCACTTCAAAATCAATCAAAGTATAACTGATTTCATTGTATAAATTTAGCGATGTATCAGAAGTGATAGTAATTCATTTCACGTTGAAATACGCAGCGTACATTTTTATTTTTTGTTATTTCTTCCGTTCTTTGTTCTTTTTCTCGCTTTCGTGTCCGATTTCGTGTGCGAACAGGAGGGTGGCAGCCCTAATACCAGGCAGATAGCGATCGTTGACGTTCATTGTCGCATCACCGTTAATATCCTGGCTATGTACCGATAGGGTGTGGAGACCGCGTTCGACGACAACGGCGACGAAGAGGAGAACGACTCGAGAAGAACGGCCCTCGTCGTTTCACCAATACAACCGCTGAACGCGAACGGGGTGAATGGGGACAGAGGGTGGACTAAAAGCCTCGAGTCTGCGTTTCGGTTGAACACCAACACCCGCGTTCCGGCGGCGTGTTAATTATTCCCTATAGCGGTGTTTCACGCGGAACAAAAATCGCGAGGTAAGTAGGACGTTGAATGGAAATTAATTGAAGGAACAGAATTTAATAGTACCGCGGTGGAGAATCGATGCCCGTGTGTCGACAATCAAATTTTCGAAGCGAGACGTTATAGCTCGAGCACGAAGCTTGTTTCTAAGTAATGAATAAATTACATGGGTCTCTAAGACTTCTGAATAGATAATTTTAGTTGTTCGTTCAATAGAAATACAAGAATTGTGGCGATTGCGCGTGGATAAAATTTTTTCATCGTTTCGATCGTTACTCGTTAACGTTTGCTGTGTAATGGTTACAGTTTGGTAAATTTTCCAATTAGTACTGGTTTAAAATAGACTCGCGGTGGTGTTGCATCGAGGCTGAAACATTTTCATCGATTTCATAACACAGATATAGTTATATATCGTGAAACTGATTCAATCTGGTCAAATAGCAGGGAATAATCAGACTATAAAAAAATGAATGCGATCCGATTCTATATCGCAAGCCGGTTGTTTCATACCGGACCGGTTCTCGACTTACGAACGTCACGTGTATGTACTTTCACTTTCAAACGAACGAACTCGACGAATTCGACCGACATCCAACTATACATACATATAGAGATAGGTGCGTGAAACCCGAAATGGCTATGATTCTTTGCATTCGGTAGGGAAGTTCTTATCCACAGATTTTCTTTTTCTTACGTAACAAATATGTAAAGCGGCCAAATACAAGAAATATCGAATGGTTTGCAGAAACGATTAATGTTTAAGAATAATTTATTGGCCGAAGAGATTCAGGTAAGAAAGAGAGTGCAATTTGAAGAATGTTTCTAGGTTTGTAGCAAGCGTTACTTTGAAATTCTCGGAGCCAGTGTCGCAGAAACAGAGACGCTCACTCGGTCGGGAGCACTTAGAAAATCGATAAGCCCTGGCTCACTTGATCCGGCGTTGGCTGCTGCCAGGCCATATCTTGATTAAAATCAGTGCCGCCCTGCACTCTCTCCTTTCTTCACCCTTCCATCCCTTCTCTAGAGCCGGGGACCCTCCGACCGGCCCGGCGATGAATCCGGTTAGTCTCGTTAACGTCTTAAGTCACCGGCTCTCTTTCTCTCTCTCTCCTCACTCCAGCCACCTTCTCGCCCTCAACCTTCCTTCTTCCTCTTTATCCCTCAGCGCGCCACTTTCTCCTCTGAGGAACAATGGGACTTTAGCTGCTTCCTTGAAAACTTGCACCGCCACTTCGCTATTCGAACGGTTGCTCCCGATAAGATCGTCTCCACGATTTTGATTAAACGGAAACATTTTCCAGGATCGTACACTTTGTCATTAGGATCATCGCATTTAAAGAAGTGTGACTCGTGTTTCTTTCTCAAGATTTTTATGGTCTTTCGATTCTTTAAAATTTTCTTTCATCAGAATTTAACTGTTCCTTGAGAACGTAACTGATCTGTAACTATTGTATACTCTGAAAAATGTTTTCATAGCAGTGTTACTTATTTGGCCCATACTCATAAAAGATATCTTACATCTTATGTATTTTATATTTATATTGAAAGGAAAACACGGAATCTTCTTCGCAGGAAGAAATAGGAAGGAGAGATCATCTGACTTTATATAACTGACGTTATATAACTAACTATTGA